TAAAAAACTTAAACTCTGACTGAACATAACTTTGGTACTAAGATTAACTATAAAAATTACTTTTCCAATTTCATCCTACAAGTATACATTATTCTATTTGATCCTTCCAAATAGCCCTAGAATAGAAGGTTGGAAAGACATTAGCAACATCTTTTCCCCACTATTTACTGGTTCTGGAAACTGAAGCCTATGTCTCACACATGGTAAGTAGTGACTGTATCAGTGAGCTACAACAAAGTGAGCTCTGTTTAACAAAGGAAGACCCTAGGACTCAAGTGTCTGAAAACAAAAGATGACTTAAGTGAAACCCAGATTGTTAAGTACAAAATGTCACTATCTAACTACTGAAATCATAAGGCGTTGGGGTGGGGGTTTGAGCTTGGCTTCATACAGGCTAAGCACATGGTCTAACTCTGAGCTTTCCCACTAGCTCTGGAATCACACTGTTTTGTTTTATGCAGGTTCTCATTATGCAACTATGACTGGCCTCACATTCATTAAGTAGTCCAGACTGACCTGAAAATCCAGATCTCTTGCCTCAACTTTTCCTAAGGGTTGGCATTACAGATCTAGGCCATCAAGCCTGGATGAAATCGTAGTCTTGAAGAATATTCAAGAAATGGGGAAATGCATCCAAAAGACTATTAAGTGACAGACCACTTTACCTAAACTACAATGCTTTCACAAAGTGAGGGATAATCATTGTACAAACTATGTTATTCTCACTGAAAAAGGAGCAAATGAAAGAGTAGGACTCTATTTCTATTTTTTTTTTTTTTGAGAGGGGGGAGTTTCAAGACAGGGTTTCTCTGTGTAGTTTTGGTGCCTGTCCTGGATCTCACTCTGTAGACCAGGCTGACCTTGAACTCACAGAGATCCGCCTGGCTCTGCCTCCCAAGTGCTGGGATTAAAGGTGTGTGCCACCACCGCCCGGCTTCTACATCTATTCTTTTTTTTTTTTTTAAAGATTTATTTATTATGTATACAGCATGTATGACCAGAAGAGGGCGCCAGATCTCATTAGGTGGTTGTGAGCCACCATGTGGTTGCTGGGAATTGAACTCAGGACCTCTGGAAGAGCTGTCAGTGCTCTTAACCGCTGAGCCAACTCTCCAGCCCTCTACATCTATTCTTAAAAGATATTATCTACATACATTTAAACCCAGCACTTGGGAGGCAGAGGCAAGCAGATCTGAGGCCAGCCTGGTCTACAGAGTAAGTTCCAGGACAGCCAAAGCTATACAGAGAAACCCTGTATCATGACAAAAGAGAAACGTAAAACAAATTCTATTTATTGAACACTTTATTAAGGAAGGTACAATAGATAGGAAACACAACCTCAGAATTCCTCCAAATTTATGAGACCACTGTACAAAGTAAAAACATGTACATCGGCACTTTGTCCAACAGACCAGTCCTGCAATAGAGCAGTGAAGAGGATCATCACAGGCAGATTAAGGAATCCTGGGAAAGTAAACTGAGCATGCTACTTTAGTCTGCTGAGAAATGGATGAATAAGGCTGGCTAGATGCTCAGTAAAAGTGTTTGCCATGAAGTCTGATGACCCAAGCTTAATCCTTGGAACCCAGCAGGTAAAAAGAAAGAATCACCTCCCTAAATTGTCCTTTGACCACCCCCACTTACAAATAAATATGTATATGATAAATACCATGCTATCTATAGAATAACTATTCTAACACTATCCAGAAACAATTACAACATTGACAGCAATTACTGCTGCAAAATGATTGTTAAATCAAAAGAATCCTCTCTTGTTTGTAGGAGCAGCCAAAAGATACATCATCATCTCTCTTCCTCAGTGCAGCACTATAAATAGAACTCCACAGCAGGAACTTCCAAATAAACACAAGACAGACCACACACACCAAAAACAGGTTCCAACACTGATATTCTATTAATTTGTGTTCATAAACACAACAAACCCTTCAAAGCAAGTAGAGAAATAGAAATAGAATATACAACAAATACTTCTAATTCACCAACCAGTATTATTTTTATCACATACAAATATGTCTCAACATGATATGCTCAAGTAATCAAATAGAGTAAGACTTTAAGCAAAATGGAAAACAAAAAGAAATAAACCAGGGGTTAGGGATGTCACTCAGCAAAGTTCTTGCCTAGCATACACAGGGCCTTGTGTTTGACTCCCAATACCCTATATACTAGACAGAGTGATTCACGTCTCCAATTCCAACATTCAAAAAATGGAACGGGAGGATTAGAAAGAAGTTGAAAACTGAAAACCATCCTCCACTACACAGAGAAACCCTGTCTCGAAAAACCAAAAAAAAAAAAAAAAATGCATGTATGGGTTAGACAGGGTGGCATGCGCCTTTAATCTCAGGAGGCAGAGGCAGGAGGATCTCTCTGACTTCGAGACCAGTTTGGTCTACAGAATGAGTTCCAAGACAGCCAGGAGGACTGTTATACAGAGAAACCCTGTCTCAGGGGTGGGGATCGGGGGGCGGGGGTGGGCCGCATGCACTCCTCCTCCCTGTCACCCACCCAGCCCCAGCTGAGGAACAAACCCAGGGTCTTTATCAAGCACTCTACCACTGAGCTAAATCCCCTGGTTTTTCAAGACAGAGTCTCTGTGTAGTTTTGGTGCCTCTCTTGGATCTCACTCTGTAGACCAGGTTGACCTTGAACTCACAGAGATCCGCCTGGCTCTGCCTCTGAGTGCTGGGATTAAAGGCGTGCACCACCACCGCCTGGCTGCATGTACTCTCTCAATCTAAAACTAATTTCTTAGTAAGAATACTTTTGCTCTTGCAGAGGATCCAGGTTCAGGACCCAGCACCCATGTGATAGCTCACAACCATCTATAACTCTATCAGGAGATCAAAAACCCTCTTCTGGTCTCCTCAGGCACCAGGTATGTACATAGTACAGTTGCATACATACAGGCAAAACACTCATAAAACAAAATATAAATCTTTTTTAAAGATAACCTTAATCTATTTATTCCTACAGCACCCTACAGCTATCCCATTACTGAATTATTTTATTTGCCCGATTCCAAACTTACATCTATAGTTTTTGTTTTGATTGTATATGTGTATGTGTGTTTGTGTGTGAATAGGTGTACATGCACATACATATGCATGCATATAGAAACCAGAAGTCAGTCTCAGATGTTATTCCTCAGAAAGCTGTCTATGTCATTTATTAAGACAGGGGCTCTAAATTGGCCTAGAACTTTCTGAGTAGGCTAGGCTGGCCGGCTAGCCAGTGAGCCCCAGGAATCTGCTTGTTTTCACCTCCCCAGCAACGTGATTTCACACTCAGCTTTTTTGTTTCTTTGTTTGATTGGTTGGTTGGTTGGTTGTTTTTTCAAGACAGGGTTTCTCTGTGTAGCCCTGGCTGTTCAAGAACTCACTCTGTAGACTAGGCTGGCCTTAAACTCAGAGATCTGCCTGCTTCTGCCTCCTGAGTGAGGGGATTAAAGGTGTGCGCCACCACTGACCGCTCTTTTTTTTTTTTTTTTTTTTTTAAAGGAAAGGAATTTAAAAGGGGGCTTATGGCAGATGACTTGATTACTCTATATAGGAGATCAATACTTAAAGAGTTTTCAGAAGCAAATTTGGTACTTGGGCAGCTGATCAACACTGGCTGTTTTTTTGTCTTGTTCTGTTTTTCAAAAAGGAGAAAGTGAGCTGAGTAGCAGTCTGTCTGTCTGTCTGTCTGTCTGTCTCTCTCTGCTTCCTGACTGTGGATGCAATGCAGCCAGCAGCCTCCCACCCCTGCAGCTATGTCTTTCCTGCCACAAGTTGTTCTGTCAGGTATTTCGTTGCAGCAATGAAGGAAACAGTGAATACAGATGGATCACTGACAACACACAGTTATTTCGGAGGTTACATTATTCCTAGTAGAACAAGAATTCCACTGTGAGGCTGTAGCAGTAAGAAAACAGTGAATGCAGATGGATCACTGACAACACACAGTTATTTCAGATGTTGTTACATTATTCCTAGTGGAACAAGAATTCCACTGTGAGGCTGTAGCAGTAAGCAGTCTGAAAAAAAAATCAATTAACGCTGCTTTATTACAAAGTAGAGACTAAAAGATGGTAGTGTCTACTCCTATCTAAATTGATATTTTGCCTATAGACCCACATAAGATAATTTAGTAATACAAGTGCAAGAGAAACAGCTTAAGTCACTTTTATCTAAGCAGTTTAATAGAGAAACAAGGTAGAAGAAATGACTGCTTGAATATATGCTGACTACGTTGCATTTTTCAAAATAGGGTCACTATATAACCAGGCAAGCCTGGAACTCACTCTGTAGCTCAGTCTGGCCTCAAATTTCTTCCTGCCTCAATGTCCCAAGATTTATCGGTGTGTGCCACTGTGCCTGGAAGTTTACCGTATATTACAATCATAGTCAATGCTCCAATCAAACATTATAAATCAAGAGAATAAGTTTTAAGAGCATCTTAGCAAGCTCAAATTATATTTAATAAAAGAAATAGCCAGGCAGTGGTGGCGCACACCTTTAATCCCAGCACTCGGGAGGCAGAGCCAGGCGGATCTCTGTGAGTTCGAGGCCAGCCTGGTCTCCAAAGCGAGTTCCAGGAAAGGAGCAAAGCTACACAGAGAAACCCCGTCTCAAAAAACCAAAAAATAAAAAAGAAAGAAAGAAAGAAAAACAATCTTGGGGCTTTAAAGTTATACTGTACTTTAGAATTTAGTAAAAATCACTGCTTATACCTTTACTGTCATAGAATCTAAACTTGGTAAGTACCACCAACACTAGCTAAATTACTTAAGCTATTCAGGTTCTCTCAATTATACAGTGAAATAAGCAGTCCATATGTGAGTGCTGCACAAACAGTCCTAAGTGGAAAACAATCACTAGGTCTTCGGAATGGCAAGGTTCAGAGTGTTAGGACACAGACCCTCATGTATTCGGAGCACATGGAGAAGGAGGAAGGGAAGGGAAGAGATGCACTGACAGAAAACAACTTGTACTCACTGGTCGAGTTGCCTTGCATCTGAATGATGCACTTGGATTCCTTGCTGGTCTCTCGAGAATTGAAGGGCCTCACTCGAACAGCTACCTTCACTGAGGCTCCCGACATTCTGGTGTCCTTACAGATGCAATCCAGAAATAAAGATCAAATCTTCTTTTGAAGTTATGTTCAAAGTTCCTTTAAAAGAGAAACATTGTACACAAGGTCGTCAGAATGAAGAGACACACAGGCTGGCTCATGAGCGCTGGCAGTTCTGTTTCATAAAAGCCTATCCTTTTCCTCCTCTACAAATCTTACATTCCCAACAGGAACTTACCAAGCAGTACAAATGGAAGTTCCTTTTCTTATTATATTATCTTTCTCAAACCCTAAAAAGTCTCTAACTGGTTAATTAAAAATAACCTGCAAAATAACAGGCGTCAATCTTTGTGTGTCTTCAGGTCAATCTCCAGTAATATAAAAAACAAAAATATCTGTTCATTGAGGGAATTCCTTTAAAATAGTGGTTTAACTAGCTCTGTAGAACAGGATGACCTCAAACTCAGAGATCCACCTGCCTCTGCGTCCCAAGTGCCAGGATCAAAGGCATACACCACCACCACCACTACCCCAGTAAAAACATCATTTATTACTTTAGGGAAAGTTGGTGAATTTCCTCTACTTGACAATTTGAAACACTTGGTTCCATGACACTTAAACAATAAAGAACAAAGAACGTTCTAGTTTGCTCCTTTAACCACATACCAAGCTTTTTTACCTATGACAATATCCGACAGATGCCTCTCTCTGACCCTCAAGGCCCCTGAACAACAATAAGGACACCTGCCAGGGACTTGTGAGCTAGTGAATCAAATCACTACGGTTCACTACGGCAAGAGACCATAGGGAAAACACAAACATGTCAGAGAAAGTTTCTCTCTCCACAGACCAAAATCAATGCAATCTCATAGGGAAGAAAATAAACAAAAAGTAAGCCATAAATAATTTCCAAAAGAAACAACCCATCTCTTGATCCAGGAAGAAATTTTTATTCATTACAAAAACATCTTCAAGAAGAAACATACAAAAGGTGAAAAATGAAAAGTATTTGAGTTTAAATATCAGAGAACCTAACATAACTTTAAAATCTGACCAATATTTAAAAAAAAAAAACAGTTCCCATATCAGAACTGAATCACATCTTTTTTACGTTTTTGAAACCATGATCAATTTTGAACCACTGAGAAATTACATTTCAAGGTGTATAAATAAGGTAAATGAGTTTTAAAATGTTTGAGATTATGTCATTTTTACTCCTCTTTTCTCCCTCCACCGCCTCCCACACTCCATCTCCTTTTAAATTCATAGCTTTTTTCTTTGTTATTCGCGTGCACACACTCTCGGATTCATAAACATATAAATACACTTGCTCTGTATAACGTTACTTCTCTGAGTTTTCAGGGCTGACCATTTGGTACTAGATAATCAATTGGTGTGCTCTTCCCTTATGAATATTATTTCGCCTGCTCTCAGCATTGTCTAGTCGCCCACAGTTAAATGTCAACATGTCTCTTGGTGAGCCAGGTGCAGAGGTGCACACCTTTAATCCTAGCACTCAGGAGGCAGGGGGAGGTGTATCTCTGAGTTCGAGGCTAGCCTGGTCTACAAAGTGAGTTCCAGAACAGCCAAGGCTGTTACACAGAGAGAAACTCTGTCTCGAAAACCCCAAAAACAAAACAAAACGTCTCTTGGTGTCATCCCTCTTCAGCTTATGTTTAGAAAGCTATATTGTTCAGACTTCATGGATGTAGCCTCTTTGACTTTTCTAGGAGACAAAAACCTCATAGCAAACTCCCTGCTCTCTGGCTTTTACAGTCTTTCTGCCCCCTTTCCACAATGACTCCTGAACCTTACTTAGATGCAGGAGTTGTGTCGTAGATACATCAGTTGGGACTGGGCTCCACCAAACTATTTTCATCAGTGTAGCTTTCTCTAATGGTCTCCATCTGTTGCAAGGAGAAGTTCCCTTGATGAGGGTGAGAACTGCACTAGTCTGTGGGTATGAGGATGAATATTTAGAATATAATGAAGGAATATACTGGTCTAGTAAGTGGCACTTGTAGGTTCTCTGCAAGAACTTCTACCTCTAACCTGGGGTAGAACTGACTAGGTTTCCAGTACCAGACACAATTTCCTTCTTCTAGTTGTTTTGTTTTGTTTTATTGAGACAGGGTCTCTCTGTGTAGCCCTAGCTGTCCTGGAACTCACTATGTGCCCCTGGCAGGTCTTGAATTCACAGAGAACTTTCGGCCTCTGCCTCCCAAGTACTGGGATTAAAGGCGTGCACCACCACTGGCCCAATGTTTTTTTCTTAACAATATAATCACTATTTGAAATTTTTACTTTTGGGAAATGTCTTCTCTTTTTCTATCTCTCACACCAGTCCAAACTGCTCAGAGATCTCCTGTCATATGTATTAGTACCTAAAACAGTATCTGGTGTAAGAGCTCAGTATCCATTAAAGGTTAGGGAAACAACCTGTGTAAGTTCTTGCTAGGTTTGATGATTCTTGTTTTTGTTTCAAGTTACTACAATGTTTTTATATTAATCTTTTAATATACCATGTGCTGCAATTTTTTATTTTATTTTATATTAACTGAAGCATTCTTAATATAGCAAATACTTCTGTGGTCACATTTATCAAATGAAAGCTTAGAGTTATTTCCCAATTAATGTTGCATATGCTATAGTCACTAGTTCAGTACTATCCCCCTGACATACACCACACACAAGAGAATGCCGCATTGCCAGGCGGTGGTGGCGCACGCCTTTAATCCCAGCACTCAGGGAGGCAGAGGCAGGTGGATCTTTGTGAGTTCGAGGCCAGCCTGGTCTACAGAGTGAGATCCAGGAAAGGCGCAAAGCTACACAGAGAAACCATGTCTCGAAAAACCAAAAAAAAAAAAAAAAAAAAAAAAAAAAAAAAAAAAAAAAGAATGCAGCATTGAGGGGAAACTACAATAAAAACATAGTTCAATATGGGTGCAGTAGCATGTCTGTAATTACAGCTACACAGGAAGCTAAGCCATGAGGTTTGCTAGCTCAACACCAGTCCAGACTTGACCCAATTAAGACCTTGTCTCCTAATAAATTGTTCAAAGGGCTGGGGATGTAACTCAGTGACCTAAGTTCTATCACCAGATGGACAGATGGATGAATAGATAGATAGATAGATAGATAGATAGATAGATAGATAGATAGATAGATAGATATGGGGGAGGAGAAGGGAGAAGGGAAAGAAAGGAAGAGAAAGACAAATCACATCAACATTTCAATCCCCACACAACTTTGATGTGGAACTATCATTTTAACTATTATGATGTCCAAAAACCAATTATCTCCCCAACTAGCAATCTATCAATTTTCCACCTTTTCCCCCCTTTTGGAAACAAGGTCTCACTATGTAGCCAAGGCTGGATTTGAAGGCTGATTTCTCCATCCTCCTCTGCCTCAGCCTCCTAAATGCTGGGCTTTCAGGTCCTTCCCACCTCTCCTTCTCATTACCTGTACTCTAATCCATGCCTCGGATTCTTGCAACAAATGAACTGTCCTTTGAACTTCCAGTTTGTTTTTTTTTGTGTTTTTTTTTTTTTTTGTTTGTTTGTTTTTCGAGACAGGGTTTCTCTGTGTAGCTTTGCACCTTTCCTGGAACTCACTTGGTAGCCCAGGCTGGACTCAAACTCATAGAGATCCGCCTGGCTCTGCCTCCCAAGTGCTGGGATTAAAGGCGTGCGCCACCACCGCCCGGCTTGAACTTCCAGTTTTGATTCAATAGTCCTTTAGCAGGGTTGTATAAAACAGAACTGAGAAACAATAAGCATAAGACGGCCACTGGCCAGGATTCAACAGTTTTTAAGGTAGGCATCAAATACTAGATTTTTGTTTTTAACTTTTTATTACATTGGATTTATTTTGTGTGTCAGGGGACAATTTGTGGGAGATGGTTCTCTCCATCCACCATGTGGATCCTGGGAATGGAACTGAGATTGTGAGACATCTTTACCTGATGAACAATCTCACCCCTAACCAAGAATCACTGCTTTAAGCCAAAACTCTGCTTCAAGATCGAACTTCATGTGGATGCAAGAGAAAGATGAGAGTCCTGTTCTACCTGTCTCTTGAGACAGTATCTATAGAACCTGAACCTCACTGTTTTGCTGCTAGGCTGGCAGACCACTGACCCCAACAATCCTCCTGTCTCCTTCTCCTTCCCTTGCAGCACTAGAGCTACAGGCTTATGAGGCCCTGCTCAGTTTTTGCAGGGCAGCTCAGGATCAAAACTGAGGTACCCATGCTTATGCACCAAGAGTCCAGCCCCCAAATCATCCTTCCCAAAGTATGGCTTTCCGTGTCACTCTTCATTTCCAAGAATCTAAGACCAAAGTCAAAGGACACCATCCATGTTCAGGCCAAACTCCTTTACTCACCCCACTCGTGTTCTTTCACAATTCCTCACTATGACTCCCTTACAACAGACCCAAATATTCCAGAAATCAGTGGTATTTCCTAAGTACTTACAGCTTCAAACACACAGTGAGAACACTGCTGTAACTTTACGTGACAGCACTCTATCTTGTACTGTTCTGTAACAGTTCCTCAAAGGGAATATCCTAGTCCTTTCAAAAAACACTTTGAACTTGGGCTGGAGGAGAGGCTAATATCTCAGGGAAAAAAAATTCAACATGACCTTAAGACATTTTAGTCAGTCCCAAAGGAAACATCTGTCAAAAATGACTAGGGATACAACAAAGGACATAGATGTCAATTTTTAAATGTTTCCACCTTTAAAGATAGAATAATGAGGGGAAAAGAAAAACAAAACAAAAAACCAGCCAGGCACTGGCAGACGTTTCTGTAACCCCAGCACTTGGGAAACTGAAGGCAAGAGGATCAAAGATGTGGTGATATATTGTGCACCCTAATAAAATTTGCCTGAAGATCAGAGAGAAAAGGTGATCCTCATCTATGTAAGAGGTTGAAGATCCTGTCACTCACATACACACACAATCAAATGTATAGTCTTAAATTCAATCAGCATATCTTGTATAAAATATTCCAAGATAACCAAACAGTAGATAAGGGTAAATTTTATTACTATTATTATTATTATTATTATTTTATTGGTTTTTTCAAGACAG